AGAGGCCATGAGGATGCTGCTGGGCAGGAGGACGGGTTATAGGCAGAGTGTAATTGAACTCTCTTCTTACAATGACTTTGGCCCCTAGGGACCCAGCTCTGCTCAGAGGTGCTTTGCTACAGGTGACACCTATTGGTTGAAGAGCCTTAGTGTTGCCTAGGTCTTCATTTTCCTATGGACTGGGTACTATATGGCGGAGAGTAGGACCCAGACCCCAAGTTCCGTTCAGAAGAAACTTAAACTGATGAACTTGCAGATGCTGGGAATGACTATAAATGTCTTGGGGGATGGAGGAAGATGGCCACTGGGCCCACAGAGCCCAAGGCCCAAGTTCCATAGGTTCCTTCCAAGAAAGCATTAAGCTGGTGGCTGCCTCCTCACCCTGATCCTTCCCACTCCCACAGTTCAACTTCCCCCGTAAATCCAACTGGAATTCTCATCCATCATTTTTCCTTCTTGCAGGGGTATTCTTGTCTGATTGTCATCCAGAAAGAAAATGAAGATTTCTTTTTCTCTGTGATAAAAGGTTGTATTTCAAAATTTCTTCAATTAATTTTTCAATAACAATAGTACTAATAATGGCAAGGTTTTGCACACACATGCTGACTTAACTAATGCTTTTCCTCTGTATTACAGGAAAGGGAATGTAAAGTCTTCTGAGTCCCACGAACATTCACACCATGTAGCTGCAGTTAGCTGCAGTAATGAGGCCTAGGCTCTGAGCTGTAGCAAGTAGCATGTGCCTTCTCCAAGGCTACCTGTCCATGGATTTGAGGACATCTTAGCTGAAAGCAAGTAGCCACGAGGATGGCGCTGGTGGGACCCAGGAACCCAGACTCTGGAGCTCCTGGCTGTCTAGGTTTGAACCTGGATTACCCCCTCCCAGCTGGCTGCCCTGGGACAAATGCCTTCACCTGTCTAAGAGTATTTTCTCACCTATAGAATGGGACCATTAGGTCAGTCAGTAGTGTGGTGGTTAAGGTGATTGGATCTCACATATCTAACAGCAAGGTTTGAATCCTGGACTTGGTAGATTGAGAAATACACTAGGTCTGTGTGTGTGCATGCCCAAAATCCCAAGAGGAGAATGGAGGAGAAGGGATTGGGGCATGCCAGCCCCAACTGGGGAGGAGGTGTACTTTCTTGTTTTCCTTCTCTTCATCTCTCTCTCTCTCCCTGGTGAGTGCCTGTGCCCTCTAGCAAACAAAAACAAAACAAAACAAAATAGGACCACCAACTGCACCTACCTTAGAGGGTCTTAGTGTGAGTTATACGGATTAACAAATGCAAAGAACCCAGAACACTGCCCCATAAGGAAGATGCATTCATTTTTACATGACAGCTGTGATTTCCAAAATGTTGGAGGCAGTTGAAAAATGTGCAGATTTTAATTCCATCTAGGGGAAGGGAGAGCAGAATGTAGGCAGAGAGTGAATGGGTTCTTACCTCAGGCTCAGTGACAGTGACTGCTCCTGTAGCAAACAGGCCAAGTTGGCAAGGTCAGAACCCTACGATGCTCCCTTCTCCTTTGACCTGGCCCCTCTTCCCTGCAGCAGGCAGGGGCTGCCTCTTCCCAACTCACAGCTTCCTTGGCTGAACTGGAATGACTTAGGGGAGCTTTCCATCCAGTCAGATGCCTGGGTCCATTCCCCAGAGATTCTGACTTAATTGATCTGCCTGTGATCTGGGTCACAGGATTTGAAAAGGATCCTGGTTGGTGCTAAAATGCACCAGTGTTGAGAACCACGTCCTAAGTGGGCAGGGCCTAGTGATAAGGGTGAATCTGTGCCCTCTTCTGGTGGCCCTCAGCTCTGCAGCCGCAGTGGTCTGGTGGTTCACACAGGCCTTGTGATCGACAGAAAATGCCCTTGAAAATTCCACTTAGGAAAGAGAAAGGAAAAGGGCCTCATTTCATTCCCTTTCTCTCAGAGCTCCCCTTCAGCCTGTGGATGCCCTCACAGTGCAGTCAGACTCCTTAGGAGGGAAAGGCAGTCTTGTTTATAGCTTGACTCTACCAGACCAACGCTACTCTTGCTAATAATCTATTCCTTCCCTTCCAGGCACCTGGGGTGGGGGTGGGGGGTCTTTGGCTAGGTGGAGGGTAGGGTTGAGCTGGCTCTGGGAATGGCTGCTGGTCCACTGAGTGGAGTGGGTGGGTAGGGGGTGTGCTCAGCTTTTACTGTGGCCTGCTGACAACATGGCCAGGGTACTTTCCATGGAATGGCTTTCCTTCTGACCTCAGCTCCAATTTTGGGGATATTCTCACCGCTAGTACACACTTGCATTTCAACAGGAATGGGCTCTGGTGAAGGAAAAGAGGCCTGTGTGTGTTGGGAGGTTCAGGGTAGCATCAGGGTTACATTTCAGTGGTTCATATATACAGACTTATAATTCATGAATGTCCCTAAGGACTCGTTAATACTTAAAGAAAAATCACAAGCACTAAAGGAACAAAATAATGTTTTATTAAAAATTGTACCCATAGCACCTCTCTGTTTTCCTACAAGTTGTTTGTTTGTTTCTTTTTCTTTTTTTTAAATGAGATCTGGTTTTCTGCACAATTTCAGAAAATGTTGT